ACCGAACTTGGGCTGCCAAAGTGGAGCATGCTGAACTTGAACCACTAGGCCATCAGGGCTGGCTCTCCTCACGCTTTTTGAAACTACCTTCTCTGCCTTTTCTCCCACTTTATCTGGCTCTTCTCTTGCCTTTGCCCATAGTGTCTCTCTGCTGCTCACTTTAGATTCTACACCCAGCAGATTCTCCTCTGTGAGGGACTTTGTCCTGGAAAGGAGATTCATTTGGTTAGTTCTGAGATTTAATAGGGCCTAGATTGTTCCACACCATCTAACCTTTCTTTTGTCTTCACCCTTAGAACCCCCTTCCAGCTCTGGCACTGTTCCCAAAAAATCTCAATTAGCTTTCTCTGCTGAGTAGGGACATTTAGATTTGGGGATAAGTATCTTTGGCAGTTTGATTAGGAGTTTGCTGGCATTGAGTGCCCCCAGAAGACCCTTTGCCTGCCCTCTTGCCCACTTGCTGATACCATGTGGGTCTCGTTGCTGTCTGTTAGTCAGCCCTTTCCTTGTACTTGGGAGTTCACAGGATACCTTATTACTTTTACGGTAGATAATTGTTGTGCATTTGTTGTGGTGGTGATTGGTGGAGCATTAGGTAGATTCAAAACTCCAGCATTGCCACTTTGATCTTGCATGGAAACTATCACATTTTTAATTTCTAGAAGTTCTTTTGTTCTCTGGATTTTCCCTCTCTTACGTCTTCTGGTTCTTGATTTGTGGACCTTACATCATCTCTTAACCCTCTAAGTATAATAGTGATTTAAAAAATTCTTTTCTGCTCCCTACCTTGTTTTTATTTTCTCTGAGTTCCCTTTTTCTTATAGTTTCTGCATCTCATTTTCATGTCAGAGTCTTTCCTCAACTATCTTGAACTCTTTGGCCCTTCAAGCAGTAGGCATTATATTGAGATCTCTGTGTATATATGTAGACTTTTTTAATCAGTGGGCTTCTCTGTAATTGCTTGGGCAGAGACAGATTCATATAGCTGAGGGACTCTCAATAGTCAATATCTGTAGGTCTTTTCTCTAGGGCTGGTCAGTTTCCCGAGATAGGTGTCCTCCCATGTACCTCTATTGGGTGAGGAAGGAGAGTGGTTAAGCTTGATTGCCAATGTGTTCTTAGAGGAACCAAAGCAGGAATAGGGAGGGCTTGCATGGTTCCATATATAGAGTTTACTGAACCTCCTTTTCCAGTAAAGTACTCAAAACATAACCAGTGTCTCTGAGTTCAGATCTTATGTTTCAACCTATCCCTCAAATAAACTTTCTATCTTTTCCATGGTGGGGAAAAGGCCGTCTCCTGTCTGCCTTTCCCTGGGTTGAGAAATGGAATTTAATGTTTTAACTTCTTAAAAGTTTTTAACTAATCATCCTGTCTTCAGCCCCACCCATACCCACCTCTTCCTTCAGAGTTACCTGGTATGATTACTGGTTCACTTACTGAGCCTTTTGGGATTCTGACATTCAAAAAATTTGTTCCCCCACCCTTGCAGGCACTCAAGTGTGAAGTCAGTCAAACTCATCCCCAAACTCATCACTCTCTAGACTCCAAAATTTTGTTGACATCCATCCAGTTGTCTTTATCCTTATAGATTTATGAAGTGTTTGTTTTTTAATTCCTTAATTTTTGTTTAAATGAGGTTCAAAAGAAGTGGAGATAAACACATGTTTACCTCTACCATCCTTTTAATAGAAGTTCTGTCGCCCTTTTAATAAATTCCTTTTCTGCTTAAAATAACTGAGAATAGTTGTATTAACTAAAATATTAGAAATATGTCTACAATAATGCATTTTCAGGACAAAAGTTTTGAATAGGGCTGAACTAAACCCATCAGACATATAACTCAAGACACGGCATGCCACCAGAATGCTTTAGAACTGAGTGACTGACGTAAGTTTTTTTTAATTACCTAGGATTTTTTTTTTTTGTGAGGGAAATCAGCCCTGAGCTAACATCCATGCCAATCCTCCTCTTTTTCGCTGAGGAAGACTGGCCCTGGGCTAACATCTGTGCCCATCTTCCTCTACTTTATATGGGACACCGCCACAGCATGGCCTGACAAGCGGTGCATCGGTGCGCGCCCGGGATCCGAACCCTGGCCGCCAGCAGCGGAGCATACGCACTTAACCGCTACGCCATGGGGCTGGCCCCCTTACCTAGGATTTTTACTTTATATGTATTAAAACCTATTTAGACATATTTAAGCATGGATTTTTAAAAATCCTATCACATTTGTACGTACATAAGAAGGAAAATAAAGACAGAAATTGATTAAGGTATTCCTAAAACTTCTTTACATTTACAGTCCTAGTCCTCTGAATCACATTTTTTAACATATATATTTTTATTTTTAATTGTGGTAAAAAAAAAAACCCTCACATAACATAAAACTTACCATCTTAACCATTTTTAGGTGTACAGTTCAGAAGTGTTAAATATATTCACATTGTTGTGCAACAGATCTCCAGAACTTTTTCATCTTGCAAAACTGAAACTCCGTACCCATTAAACAGCAACTCCCCATTTCCTCCTCCCCCTAGTCCCTGGCAACCACCACGATACTTTCTGTTTCTGTGAATTTGACTACTTTAGAGACCTCATATAAGTGGAATCACACCATATTTGGTTTTTTTGGCTTATTTCACTCAGCATAACGTCCTCAAGGTTCGTTCATGTTGTAGCATGTGTCAGGACTTCCCTCCTTTTTAATGAAGTAGGTTTTGTGGAGAAAGAAAAAGGCATCTCCCTTTAACAAGCAACACTGAAAATATAGTTCACTCTGAAACACTGATAATGTAGTAGATATCAAAAGCAACTGCTCAATTAACGTTGTTGAGTTGAAACGCCAGCCCTTAGTTTTCCCAAAGGGCTCTGAAGTGAATGCCTCTGATCCTGGGAGAAGAGACAGACTCTGGTTTTTAGCTGCTGTCTTCTGCTTGTTATGTTGTGATCTGCAGATTTCCCCAAATTCTGTTTCCAGGGTTTACCATCACAAAGAAAAACCCGGTGCAGAGATGAGGGGAAAAAGGTGTCAATGCAAAATAACCAATAACCGTTCTATATATAAGAGAAATAAGGTGAGTTTACTTGAGCCAGAGTGAGGATTATAACCTGGGAAGGCCTTAGAAAGCATTATTGGAGAAGCAGTGTTTTCAGTACAGCCTTATATCTTTTTAGAACAAACATACATTAAACACCGGGGATACATTTTCATCAAAATTTCAAAGGGGTATTCAATTGCAAATGAGCAGGTCAATGTGACCGTGACGTTGGGAAAGGGACTAATCTGGGTGTTACCAACAGGGCGTAGGAGGGGAAGTATGCATTCTTATCTTAAGAGAGTGTATTCTTTACTTTAATGGTTAAGCAGATGTACAATGTATGTTTGATAGGCCATAAATCAGGCTTTTTCAAGCCGAATCAGTTTTGATCCCGAATAGTTACCCCATATACCTCAATATGTGAAAATCTCTTCTCAAAGGGAAGTTTGTGTGAGCCGGGTGTTAGAGTTTGAATTTGCATGGGAGCCTGAGGACTTGTTAAAATTTGTATATGAAGAGGAATTTCCCAAACTCATTTAAAAGTATATATTTTTTCTCAACATGAGCATTAAACTTCTGTGTCCTAAGAAATATGCAGCTCTTTCTCCTTTGCACTCACGCGTCTGCTCTTCTGAGTCCCCGTTAGCCTCTCGGCTGTTTCCTTCTCTTGCGTTGCTCTCCTTCCTGCCCTCCCTGGCTCCCCCAGTGGTCTTTTCTTTCCTCTTCTGTTCCTTGGGCCCTGTGTTGTTTCCTGCCTTCCCCGGCTCCCTGGCCCTTCCCATTCTGCCCCCCAGTGTTTCATCTGCACCGAGAACCCAGCGGCCTCACAAGCTGGGTGGGGTTTACTTGGGTAAATTACCACTTCCTGGAGCACCATCCAGCAGTGTTTTCTCAAGACTTGGAAGTTGGAGTCAGTGCATTGGGGGAAAAAAGGGACATCATTTACTGGGATGGCTCTCCAGAGAATGGTTCTGTATAAATCTCCAAACGGTGAATTTGAGTGAAAATGGCCATGGAGGTAAGTCTTTGATGGGGGCCAGAGGACCAGTACAGGGAGAAGGGCCCCCAGGGTGAAGGCAGAATGGGAACGGGACAGCCAGGGCTGCGGGTTGTGGCTGGATTCACGAACTAATGGTCTTTCTTTCCTACCTAACACACTGAGGCTTGGCCAGCTGTGGGGCTGTGGCCTGGGACAATTGTCTGGTTCCATTGCTGCCTGTTCTTGCGTAAACGTGGGCTGGATTCTGCTCTAATTTGAAAAGAAAATAAAAAGAGAAAGAAAAAGAAAAGAAGGCTCAATTGTGACTTCTAAAATAGTACTCCAGGTGTATGGAACATTCCATGCCCCAGGCGTGGAGGTGGCTCTGCAAGGTCATTTTTAGGACGCCGTGTGCAAAATGTTTCTTGAGCCATTCTGCAACATAATATTACAAAAAGACCTATTTTATTTATTTTTTTGTGAGGAAGATCTGCCCTGTGCTAACATCTGCCAATCCTCCTCTTTTTTTGCTGAGGAAGACTGGCTGTGGGCTAACTAACATCCATGCCCATCTTCCTCCACTTTATATGGGAGGCCGCCACAGCATGGCTTGCTGAACGGTGCGTCGGTGCACACCTGGGATCCGAACCGGTGAAACCCGGGCCGCCGCAGAGGAGCGTGCGCACTTAACCGCTTGTGCCACTGGGCCGGCCCCCAGAAAGACCTATTTTATAAGGAGGAAACCATGAACATTGTAATTTCAAGAATACCTATTAAGCCCTGGCCCAAGGACAGGATCTAAATTTTATTAACAGAAGCTAAAATTCCATTTACAGTTTTATCCCTTTAGTTTAAGTCTTTAACTCTCCCTTAAAATGTAAGCAAATGTCGGGATGGATAATAGATTGGCCTTTATGAATCTTTAGCCTCAAATCACACCAGACTTCTACCAGGCCCCTAACCTCCATCTCCCACATCCCTTGCTCCAGGCAAACCAGAATTCACTCCTGGAGCCAACTCGAGGCTCTTTTGGGCCTTCACGCCTGGAAACTTTTGAGCCTGTTTTTTCTGCCTGGGACACTTGCCCCTCTCTTCTGTTTTTAGCGAACTCCCAGTTCTTCAGAACTCAGGCAATGTCACTCACTGTTCAAAGTCTGTTCTCCAAGGCAGGCTTAGTCCAACCGTGGGTTCCCGGACTCCTTGGGTCTCTCCTTCCTGATGGCCCTTATCCCCATGTAATCATTCACATTCAGGTCCATCTTCCCACCAGGTTAAGACTCCATCAAAGACATGAGCCGTGTCTTATTCTCACGGAATCTCTTGGATCTAGAACAGTAGCTGGCCCACAGTAGTTTCTGTTTCTGGAGTGAATGAAATCTTGACTGCCAATGTGTTTTTAATGGGGGAGGGGGGGTCGCGGTGCAGGGCTGGAGTAGAGAAAGTGAAAATTGCACTGAGAAAAAGAAGCCGTGTGCAAAGAGAGGAGGCTGGGGTCCCTGAAGGGAAACTCCTCTGGGTGCCAGTTCTGCGAAGGGCCAGACAGCTTGGAGACATGCTAACTCCTCTTTTACTACCATCTCTTAGAAGGTAAGTCTAATTGCTGAAACATAAAAAGTATTGGCACATTTGATGCACTTGCCAAAGTGTTGTTTAATGACCTGTATCTCACACAATAAAATAGGGCAAAGTTAAAAACTCAAATTTGCTTTGGATCTGTATCTGCTACCATCTGTTGGTTCCCGGATCCTGGGTTACATCATTCTTATTTTTACGTTAAACATTACCAGTAATAAAAACAGAAAGAAAAGCGGGAAATAAAAACTCACGTAGGGAAGTTCTGATTTCATACAGGCCTGGCAGAGTCATATTTTCTTCTTAGAAATCCTAGAAAACAGAAAACAATAGGAAGATGTCTTATTGAGAAACACCCCTTCAACTTGACCATGAGTCAAACAAGGAAGAAAAATCCCTCAGACGGAGAAACTAAACTCCAGACTTCATTTGTCAACAAATTCCTCAAGGGCTCAAAACTCAGGTCCTCCGAATCTGAAAGCAGAAAAGAGAGCAATGACCTTAACACAACAGATTTCCAACCCGGCGATGGGACACAGAAGACAGCCACCGTAGACACTGGTAAACTTCTGACTGCTATTTCTTTATTTTTTAGAATAATGTTTTCCCCTAAAAAGATCATATGGGTTAAAGTAAACCTAATATGAGTCTCTGTTCTAAACATTTATTATATTACATAAATGCTTTAAATAGTTCACTAATTTTACTTTTAAATTATCAAAAGTAACATAATACTACAGAAAAGTTTAGAGAAAATACCTTATTTCCTTTCATTCTAACACAAATGACCATTTCCTTCAGATTCTTTTCAGTCTTTTGTTTATTTGCATGCATTTATGATCAGTCACCCAGTCAACAAACATTGGCTGAGTACTTACTATGTCCCAGCCGCTGCTGTGTTAGAAATATAGCCATGAAAAACAGGACCTTAAGTACACAAGGAACCAAATGCAGACATAATTTCAGTGTGATAAGTGATATGAAGAAAAATAAAGCAGACTAAGGACATGGAGGGTGATGGGAGGGGTGTGCTGTTTTAGAGGGGGTTGGAGCAAAAGAGTCTCTGATTTGGTGGCATTTGAGCAGCGATCGGAATAAAGTCAGCCATGTAGAATGAATGAATGAAGCCAGCCGTGTAGACGTCTGTGGGGATAGCTTTCCAGGCAAAGGGAACTGTAAATGCAAAGACCCAAGATGGGACTGAGCCTGGAGTGCTTGAGCCAGGAGCTCGGGGAGGCTGAAGCAGGGTGAGAGATGCGGAGAGGACAAGGGCAGTAGGAGACAAGTCAGAGAGGCAGCGGGGGGCCAGAACGGGCGTCTTTTGCACAGTTATAGTAGCTTGCAAACCCCTCTTGATCTTACATGGAGCTGTGACCCTACTTCAGGAGCATATTATTATACTGCTTAATTCCCACATTGCTACATGCTGTTCATATGCCCAGTTTTAACAGCTGCATGATATTCCATTGCATGCATATGCCATAATTACTTAAGTTCCTTTTTTGCCCTTCAGTGAATATTTCCTTCTCCCCTATTTCCTGTTTCACCCTATTTCGTCTATTTTTTTTAGTATAAATTCCTAGAACAGAGATTACAATTTCAAGGGTTATGAAAATATTGCCAAATCTCTAGTTATGTGTCATATACAATGCCATCAATATATTTTCTGTTAGATTAAATGTTTAAACTTTTAAAAAATTTAAAACATTTTAAACTTTTTATGCAAACGTACAAAAGTAGAGACAACAGTATAGGGAGCCCCCGTGATCACCTCCCTCTGACATTATCAATCGATGGCCAATCTTGTTTCATTTATACCTACCCTTATTTCCATCAGATTATTTGCATCAAATACTGAAAATCATATCATTTTACTTGTAAGTAGATTAAATATATTTTTGGAAATAGGAAGTCAAGTCTACCTTTAAAAAAAGACAATCTCTATCAGAAAATTGTTGTTATCTGTTCTAAAGTATGATTTGGCGCTTCAGGAATGTGGTTAATGAATACCCATAACTGTAATTAAATTAACAGTGCAAGACCGGGCAGCTGGTTATCCTGGTTGGGCAACACTGGCTATTCAACCCATGCGTGGCTTCTCTATTTCCATTTCTCCCAAAATTCAGTGGCTCCTGGAATCATGTTAATTCTGCCCGTCAAATGGCTCTTAGACCTGATTCCTCCTCTCCGCTGCTGTTCTGCTCTCACTGCCTTTCGCCTGGACCACTGTGACAGCTCCCTAACTGCTTTCTCTGCTTCTAGTCTTGCTCTCCAGCCAAACTGTCCTCTACAATGCTACTGGGCACTCTTTCTAAACCACACATACGATGGTGTCTCTCTCCTGCTTCAAATCCTTCACTGAGTCTCTCTTGCCTTAAAGACAAAGTCTACACTCCCAAGGGTGGTCTTCAAGTTGTTCACGATCAGTTGTCTGTCTCTTCGTGACCTCTGTCTTTCCCCAACCTCACCTTCATCCTGTACTCCTGACATTCTGATTTACTTACTTGCAGTTTCCTGAACTGGCCACGTTCCCCCAAGGGGTTCTCTGGCCTAGAAAGACCTTCCCTTGTATTACCAACGTCCCTCTGTGCCCGTTGCCCGTTTATCCCTCCCTCATGTCACCTACCTGGCTGACTCCCACTCATTCTTTGAGGTGCAATTCACACATCACTTTCTCTTGGAACCTTGCCAAGACCCATCCACCAGACCTGAGGTACATACTGTCACTACCCTGGGCTTCCATGCAGCTCTGCATGCCTCCACCATTGCACTTCTCCTCTGTATTGTGACTGTGGCTTTCTTGTCTGTCTCGTCCATTAGACAGGTAGCTCCTTGAAAACGGGAACTTGTTATCTTGGTTCCCTGTACAGCAGCACCCATGTTACAAACATGTAATAATGTTTTACGAAAGCATTGGGACTCTTGGTCATAAACAGTGGAAACCAATCCTTACAGATTTAAGTGGGAAGAGAAATTAATGAGAAGATACTGCTTAGCTCACAGAATCACCTGGAGAAGCAAGAGCTTGGTTCAGCAGCAAAGTAGTCAGGAAAAGGCACCAAATCGCCCCATAGGATTTCTCATGTGTGATTGCCTTGTATCCTCCCCCGAGCACCAGCCCTCCCACCTCAGCTGACCTGTAGCAGCTCTGAGTCATCTATTTTATATATTGAGTGACAAAAGATATCCTTCGAAGAAAGGGTGTCATAGATTAAAAAAATTATATATATATATAGTCTGTAAGGAGATGTCTAGTTGGTACTTATATTCATACTTAGGTGTTTTGATAAAGATTTATTATGTTGATTTATTTTGGTAATTGAGGAACTGTAAAGCTAATATTCATTCATTCCACTCATTTGTTGATTTATTCATTCAACAAATATTTACAAAGTACCTCTCATGTAAAAGGCACTGCAGAGTCCCGCCTCCCTGGGAGCCCCCACTAAATTTAAGTTCCTATGCTCCTGGGAAATGAACAGGGCAGGAATTACAGTCTCCATTTTGTACATGAGTAAATGAAAGGTCAGAGAAGTTCAGTGACTTGCTCACCTGATGGACCCACGATTTGAACCAGGTCTTCCAGTTGTGCTGTCTTGGACTTGCCATTCATTTCAGACATTACAGAGCACCAAGGAGGACGTGGTCTGAGAAGAGATTTCTGAATCTGTCAATTGGTAGGTTATTGTTGGTGACCTTTGAGAATCAATTTATTTGGATAGTTGAGTGTGGCAACCAGAATGTAGAGGGTTAATTGGTAAATGTGGTGAAGAAGTGGGGCCAGCAAGTACAAACCACCCTTTCCAAACGTTTGACAATAAAGGAAATGATTGACACAACAGTGGCGTGAGGAGAAAACAGAGAAAAAGAAGGTTTGGTGGGGCTGGAACTTCAGCATGATTGTAGGTACAGCCCATGGAGATAAAAAGCTTAAAAACAAAAGAAAGCCATAAGATACAATGCAGAAAAATCTTTTTAAACACAAAGATTAAAAAAAACATACACACACAATGGGTTTGGTGCAGACTGTTCAGGGTTCAAATTCTGATTCTGCTACTTACTAATTAACAGTCTCTCTGAATCTCAGTTTCCAAATTTATGAAATCATGTAACTATGACTCCTTGTGTTAAGTTTACACAGGATGTCCTGTACTCACTGGCATGTAGGAGGCCGTCCCTCCCCATCCCCGTCCACAACTCTCCTCTGCTCCACCCAAAATGAGCGTTGCCAGATAAAATACATGCATTTGGGACTTTTGGTAAACAACGATTCTTTGTTTACCTGCAGTTTAAATATAAGCAGACATGCTGTTTTTGTTTTTCCTAAACTTGGCAACCCCATCCAAAATAAAATACCTTCTGTCCAATGTTCCATGATAAAGATCGAAGGCCCTAGGGAAGAGGTGAAACGGTAGATGCTGCTGCCTCCTACCGGTGGAATGTGGCAACACCAACCATCCCAGCACAGAGGTACACCCTGTGGATATACAAGACACACGGTGCAGAAGAGGTGGAGTTTTTAGGATCCTGCTAATATTTTAGTCTAAATTTATTACTACTGTAATCTTACTATCTTTTAATTTTCACTGGAACCAATATATTTCTTTCTAGCTATGTGATTTTTATGTTTTTTTGTCAGGGTTAGTAGAATATAAATTACTGCACATTCAGAACTTATGCGTTCCTATTGGATTCCAGTATATTCTTTGTATGTGTTTTAAATTGTACGTTTTCACTTACAGAACCTCTTCAAAGTCACTATTGGTACATGCATATTCATTTTTCCTTACAAAAGGATGATGTGTTGTATAAGTGATATAAATGCTGGCACATGCAGTAGATGAAGCACTGGTGCCTAATAGGTGCTCAAGAAAATTATAGCTTTTGCTCTTAGAGTGATATCATGCTAATAAAGCATTATTACAGAGGAACTCGGTGAGGGTGCCATATAAGTAGTCCTTAATAACAAGAAGGACAAATGAGACTTTCTGAACGTATTGTCTGGCTGGAGTTTAGACAATGCCAAAGCTCTCCCAGGGCTACTCTTTCCTAATTTTTCAGTTGAATGGTCTAGGAAATGAGCAAGTGTTCCACTCGCTTCCTGTAGCCATCTGAAGCTCATGGGCGGTGACTGCAGTGCTTCCCCTCCTTCACCTGTTTGGTTAGGAGGCAAATTCCTGTGCTTCCCTCCAGCAGCTGCATTCACCCAAGATATCTGTGCAAAGATATCCAGCAGCGCTCGTCTTAAACGCTGTGCTAACACATTTACCTCTTCGTCCAGGAACACAACTCTGCCCGCATGCTGAGAATCCTAGGTCAGGCCATGGAAGAAAAGTCACTGAGCTCCTCAGGCTGCTTTGTAAGAAACGGGTCACTGGACTGGTCAGGTTTGAGCACCTGGAGGCAGGAGCAGAGGTTAAGTTTGTCCCTGGTAAACGCTTCTCCTTCTGAGTTGAGGTTTCGCAAGGGACCAGTTCAGAGTTATTGTCAGTCTTTCCACTTGTCTTATCGTGCTCATCATGCATCTTTAATACTATCTGTCATTAACAGATTTTATTTTATTTTTTATTCTTATGATACAGCTAAGCCTCTCGCTTTGGAAATGGACCTGGGATCCAGGCTGGAGAAAAATGAGCAGTTTCTGCAGAAGCTGGGCACAAAGGCTGTCGACAGGCGTCTAGATCTGAATAACTGCAGGTTAACAACAGCAGACGTGAGGGAAATGGGTGTGTACGTGGCTGACTTCGCAGAAAGGAACCTGGGCCTCTAGGTTGAGATGAGCAGGCAAAACACACTCACTGCTCACTTGGTAACCCAAGGTCTGCAGGGGCCCCAGACCACTCGGGAATAGCGACGGCACCACTATTTTTTTTTTAAAACAAGCTAATTGATCCTTCCTCATGCTTCAAAGATTTGAGCTGAGTTTAGGAGGAAGGTTCATTTGTTTGTTTGTTTTTTCTGAGCAGTTTTACCTCCCTACTGATTGATTGCCTCTTGCTCCCTGAAAAAACATCTGTTCTTGCATATGATATGAATTCATGAAACTCGTCCATAAAATTGAGCCCTGCCGGGACTTTAATGGGTTTTTATGTTGTTTAGTTATCTGTGGAATGAAAAGTATAATTACCAGCAATTATTGCTTACACCTTTTGTACACAAAAGTGTAGCTACCTTTTGTCACACCTGTGCAGGAGTTTGTGTGTGAAGAACACCCTTTCTACATCACCATCACCACCTTTTTTCCCCTCTTTTTTTCAGATACCTTAAATCAAGCCTTTAGTCAAATTAGATGTGTCGGGGCTGGCCCCATGGCATAGCGGTTAAGTGCATGCGCTCTGCTGCTGGCAGCCTGGGTTCAGATCCCGGGCGCGCACCGACACACCACTTGTCAGGCCATGCTGTGGCAGCGTCACACATAAAATGGAGGAAGATGGGCACAGATGTTAGCTCAGGGCCAGTCTTCCTCAGCAAAAAGAGGAAGATTGGCATGGTTGTTAGCTCAGGGCTGATCTTCCTCACCAAAAAAAAAAAAAAAGAAACAAATTAGATGTGTCTACCAACAGAGAAGTATCAAATGAACTGTGTTTTGAGTGAGGAGTCCCTTGACTATTTTAATTGAAATCCATGCCATTATATTTGGGACAGATCTCTTAAGAGGGGACTCTAACCATGTCTGTGGTTCCCAAATGCCTGTGTGTCTCAGAATCTGTGGAAATGCAAGCACTTGAGTCCAACCCAAACCCACTGAACCAGAATCTTGAGAGTGGGCCCCAGGAATCCTGGTTTTATTTTCCTTCTTAATGTGTTCAGTGGTCTTTTGTACTTTATAAAGTTAGAATCATGGTGAACAAGATGAAATGGCTAAAGTACTTTGAACGCTGGTAAAAAGAAAACAATTTTTCACTTGTGAGCATGGCTTCAGAATGTTGGAAGGGCTGGAGCTGCTGTGCCTGTAACTGTGGAAGCTCTCCATGCCGCTTCTGACTGCTGTCACCGTTTTAACATTCAAGACAGGCGTTTAGAAGCAGCAAGCAGAGAACGTTACTCCTCTGCTTCGGCATTTCCACTCTCAAGTCTTGTTGCTTCAGAAGAAGATAGCCTTTGAGAATCTTTTTCACTTTACTTTTAACGAGCAATGGCGGACATTCAGAAGGTTCCAATCAGCCTTTATGCCTGTCTTAACCTCCACATGTTGGTCCATTTAAGTATAACAGGAGATTTTTAAGGTGGTTTGTTCCCAGGTAATCAAGATGGAAAAGAAAAGGTAACAGGCACCCTCAATCTCAGCAGTCCTGCCAACAGAGCATTCCCCAGGCCATCAGCTTGAGGGTCCACCAGGATGACGGGTGATGGATGTCAGAGGGTCTTGCACAGTAAAAGGACTGGTATACACATTACAGTGACAATGGTAGTAGCAGTTGCAGCAGTAGAATTACCATTTCTGATACAATAAAGGAAGTCCTATGAAATCTTATGGAGACACCGCTGCATTTTCAGAGTGCAGTTAGTTGCAGAAATAGAAGACATCCCAAGAAATAGGAAATGTAAATGTCACAATTTCTCCAGTTGCACATCTGAGAGATCCTTGCTTTGTTGCAAGTCAACATGCCCACCCCTGCTCTATTCTCTTTCAGAGCAAAACTATATCCTGTGCACATAGGCTGGGAATCCTATTTACTACAAATCACAAGTTACTGATGCGAATCTGTATTTTCTTTTTTTCACTTCTAGTTGCTTTGCTGCCTTTTGTCCCAGACTTGGAAGAACTGGATGTTTCCTGGAATGATTTCGTGGGTGGGACCCTCCATTTGATCACCCAGCAAATGCATCATGTCAGCAAGTTAAAAATCCTGAGGCTGGGTAGTTGCAGACTTACCACTGATGATGTTCGAGCACTGGGTATGATGAATGCTTCCCTTAAAAGACGGCTTCACTTGCAGCCCAACCTGCAAGGGCAAGCTATCTGGGACATGGCCCCTGTGGGTGCTCACAGACAAGAGCACTGCGCAGGATGCAATGCTGTGTTGAGCACTTGCATAACTTGTAAGGTGCTGTGTAACCTGTACCCACCATTGTGCTAAGCCCTGGGGTGGAGAGGGGAACAAGGCTGACCAGGTACCTGCTCTCATGGAGTTTAAATGGAGATAATTGTAAAACTTGCTCACTCTGGATCTGTTAACCTCATCTGCAAAATAGAGGAGTTGGAGTAGATAATAATTAAGTTCTTTTCCAATTCCAAAATAATCTCTTCTCTTTTCCACTCCCGTTTTAAAAAATTGATCAAAACAAGATTTTCAATTAAAAGCACTGGTTTAACTAGAACTAGAACTTCAATTAAGTTAGTTTATATGCTAAACATAGAATAACATAGAACATAGGATAAAATGTGTCATGCTACTAACCCAACTGCTTTACTAAGATGCTTGCTGATGTTTAGATGTCATTAATATTTTTTTATTCTTTTTTTGGTCTGAATGGTTTGAATGACATATTTTGATCATTTATATCTCTGCAAAGATTTCTGTAAACACAACACAGTTCATGCCCAATGTCTTCTCCCTAATCCCTCCCTAGAAAATGGGGGCCAGCTGCTCCCCCTGGCCCACCCTCCCTATAGCTAAGGAAAAACATTGCATGTCTCAGAGTTGGCCAGATTCTAGTTCAAATCCTAGTCTCACTTCTAACTAACTTTGTCACCATGAACAAATTATTTAGCCTTTCTGAGCCTCAGTTTTCTTATCTCTGAAATGGGGGTGATTCCACCTCAAAAAATTGTTGTGAGGATTAAGTAACTTCTGTAAAGTACCTACTACATGCCTAGCACTTAGTACGTGCTCAATAATCAATAGTTCCTCATTTCACTATTCCCTCATCCAAAATTACCTTTCTGTGGTTTCACATGACCAATTCAGCCCTACTGGTTAGCAGCTGGTTATTGTGTAACAGAGTCACAAATTTAACATACTGTTACTCAGGCATGAAAAGAAAATGTAGTTTATTTTCTATGGTTAATCTTTTTCATGAACCTCCACTCTTAAGAAACCAGGAAATGGAATTTCTGCCCTGGACCCCACTCCAAACTTTTCTGGCCCAGGAGCCAGTCTGCACCTTTGTCACTCTGCACCCAGAGTCTTTCTCTTCTCTGGAAGGACTTCTGCATCCTCTCCCATCAGAAGGGGCTTTCCTTAGCCTGAATGGCAGATGGGGTAAAGGGAGAATAAATGGTTTTCTGATAATAGAACATAAATCAGGAGGCATTTCAACATTATCACACCTGTTACAATCGCTTAGTGCCGGGTGGCAAATGCATGGTGCTCTAGTACCATGTGCACTGCACACATAGCTAATCAAACATGCACTCTTCCTCTCTGATCCTGGGGGACGCCTCAGGGCTATAGAAAGCCACCCCCAACTGACTGGTGATGGTGCACAAAATGTCACCTGTGCTGGGAGAACATGCATGTTCACGTGGGGCTCCTGGACTCCTAAAACCTTAATCCATGCAATGTATAACCAATGGTAGAAGTCCAAGCCCAGTGGCAGACAGTGGAAGAGAGGCTCTGGACACAGGGGACTTTCCAGCCCTCTTAATCGTTTGGTGTTAAGACTGACTCTGCACTTTGAGAAAGTATTCTCCTGTTCTACTCAAAGTAGTGAATCATTCCTAAGGCTGATCTCTCCGGTCACCTCCCTTCTTCTCTCCCAGCCTCCACTCTGTAGCCCTTGGATGCTTTCCTGTGTGAGATGCATTCAAAAATGTCAAGTTTCACCTCTCTCACTGTACCCTCCTCTACCCACAAAGGCTGTGTGGTTGTTATGAGTTGCTGGTGCCTGATGCTCTATTATTAGTTCCTCTCGGCAGTGGTCGTTCAGTTGTATGTGATATTCTTGGTGAGAATGTGAGCTTTATCCCTGTGGTGGCCAGTGCACTGCATTACTGCACTTCTACCTCTGGCCAAGCTTCTCAGCAATGCTGATCCCAGAAAGGGTGAATGGGAGAAAGCAGGTGGACTAGTACAAATATTTACTACCACAAAAACAACTCAGTAAAACACTCCACTGACAGGTGGATTTTTAATTTAATTTTTAATTTTTTTTGTGAGGAAGATCAGTCCTGAGCTAACATCCATGCCAATCCTCCTCTTTTTTTGCTGAAGAAGACTGGCCCTGGGCTAACATCCGTGCCCATCTTCCTCCACTTTATGTGGGACACCGCTGCAGCATGTCCTGACAAGCGGTGCATTGGTGCGCGCCCGGGGTTCCAACCAGGGCCGCCAGCAGCAGAGCGCGCACTTAGCCGCCATGCCACGGGCTGGCCGTGGATTTTTTATTTTACAATAATTTTTGCTCATAAGCATGGCTTCAGAACTTTGGAGGGGTTAGAACTGCTGTGCCGGTAAATATAGACACTCCCCCTGCTGGGGGTGGGCAGGAACTGGATCCTTTTCTTCTCTGTTCCTTGGCATGTAACTGGTACAGGTCGCAGCTTCCATATTCCGTAAATAATGGTTGTACTGATTTTTTTTTGTGTGTGTGAGGAAGATCAGCCCAGAGCTAACATCCATGCTAATCCTCCTCCTTTTGCTGAGGAATACTGGCTCTGTGCTAACATCTATTGCCAATCCTCTTCCTTTTTTGCCCCAAAGCCCCAGCAGATAGTTGTATGTCATAGTTGCACATCCTTCTAGTTGCTGTATGTGGGACGCGGCCTCAGCATGGCCGGAGAAGCGGTGCATCGGTGTGCGCCCGGGATCCGAACCCGGGCTGCCAGCAGCGGAGCGCGTGCACTTAATCGCTAAGCCACGGGGCCGGCCCTGGTTGTACTGATTTTGAAATGAATTCCCTGCTTTGCGGACTAGCGATCAACCTGATCTTTGGGCCATTTTGTAACAGGAGAAGCACTTAAAGCCATCCCTGAACTCGAGGAGCTGAATTTGTCCTGGAACAATAAAGTGGGAGGAAACTTGCCTCTGATCCTGCAGGAGTTCCAAGAAGGGAGCAAGATACAAACGCTGGAGCTCGTGGATTGTGCTCTCACGTCAGAGGATGGGGCATTTGTGGGTAAGTGGAATTTGGAAGAGTCCTTCCCAGAAAAAAAAATGTGAAGACGCCCATGATTGGATACCTTGGGAGTCCAAGTTGGCTATGTTTTCTCTCACCCTGGATTGAAAGAGGGGTTCCCTACATCCTTGGGTCACACAAAGCTGCACTCCCCTCCTGCCTGCCCCAGCTGTCACACCCTGTGTTTTTACTGAGTCGCTCTTCTTGTTTGGATTCCCTTCCTTCCAGGTCAGTTGCTACCCGTGCTGCAAAATCTTGAAGTACTTGATCTTTCCATTAACAGAAACATCGGTCGCAGTCTACACAGTATTGCTCAGGGATTAAAGAGTACCTCAAATCTGAAAGTATTGAAGTTACATTCATGTGGATTATCACAAAAGAGTGTGAAACTATTGGGTAAGTTCACTATATATATATATCTATATATATTTAATTTTAATTTTAAGCTGTTAGGAAATATAACAAAATATAAACAGGGGTTATGTTGGAGAATAAGATTATAGATAATTTAATCTTCATGTTTTATTTATGTTCTAAGTCTTTTACAGTGACCATATACTTTCATTTTAAAAAAATAACCTTTTAAAATGGCTGATTCTGAAAAGGCCAGGGTATTTTAGGTTTGAGATATACCCTGGGCCAAATTAAAGTTTCTGTGCTGCTAAAGCTCTCCATTTTTCTCTTGCTTTTAAAAATGTCAGCACTATTTTCTGCTCAGTAGTAGGAAGGAATTGGTGCTGATAAAAAGAGTGGCTTCAGGGACCGGCCCCATGGCGTAGTGGTTGGGTTCACACCCTCTGCTTTGGTGGCCTGGGGTTCGCAGGCTGGATCCCCTGCTTGGGAAGACACACTGCTCATCAAGCCATGCTGGTGGCATCCTGTATACAAAATAGAGGAAAATGGGCACAGACGTTAGCTCAGGGTTAATCTTCCTCAGCAAAAAGAGGAGGATTGGCAATGGATGTCAGCTCCGAGCCAGTCTTCCTCACAAAAAAAGAAAAAAAAGAAGAAGAAGAATGGCTTCAGAGGCATCTATAGTTAAAACTTACTCCCCTATATAAAGTATTCATATTAAGGGAGTATATGAAATGAAATTGTGTTTTTCCCTTCGACTTACAGAGCCTGTAATATTCTTCTCTCTGGCAGTTTGAGTAAGTCTAGAAATCTATGAAAACATCAAGGCTCAAGAGTAGCTAGAGGAGAGCCATTAGTTGCAGGATTCCCATCAAAACCATCGCCAATCAGTGCCAATCACAGGGAGTGTGCATTTCAAGCCATTGTCAGGGCCAAAGAGGGCTAGATGGTAGGAAGTCAATGGTTCTTCCTCCATCTTGGCTTTTGTCAGCCCAGTGTATTTTCTGTCTTCCTTCTGCACACCTGCCCTCCCCTGCTCCACTCCTGCCTACCATCTTGTCATATGTCAGAATGGGATTTTGACTTTCTTTGTAGATGCTGCTTTTGGACACTTGAATGAGCTGAGGAAACTAGACCTTTCCTGCAACAAGGAGCTGGGTGGAGGTTTTGAGGACTCAGCAGCTCAGTTGGCCACGTTGGAGCATCTGGAAGTCCTGGATCTTCATCAGTGCTCACTGACGGCAGGTGACGTGGTGTCACTGAGTAAGTACATGCTGCAGAGCCAATGAAGGACTTTTGGAGCCTATGTTTGGAAACCTGGGAAATTTGAGATGTACACTTAAACTTACTATTTATGAAATTACTAGGAAGATCAAATAAAAGTTCTGTGAATGCCCCAGTGTAGCGTTTGTCATGTATTAAATGCCCAGGCAATGTTAGTGAATCTAAATTCCTCCTATACACATCTGTAAATGATAGATGTGGCACTTGAAGGAGAAAATTTTGCATTTATGTTGCTGTTTAGAAACGAATTTGTTAGTGTCACAAAGTTTATTCCAAACAGGGATGTAGAGAGAAAGCCAAAACAAAGGGTGTTGAGGCTTTCAGACTAACAAGAGAAGTCAAGCTGCTTAGGTACAAATGAAGCTACAGAACAAGTCAGTGGGGTGGTGCATAACGGGTGTACATTACAACTTTAGGTAACTACACTTACTTTCCCACCACAGACGTAGTCCTCTAATTACAACATGTAATGTATAAATGCTGTTTCCCATAACAAACAGCAAGCATAGCCTTGAGATTAAGGGTTTTATTCCATCTATGGCCACAATAAACATAAACCTTCAAAATACATCCGGAATCTGACCATGGCTCACCATCTAGACTTCTACTACCCCGGTCCAGGCCACCGTCATCTCATGCCTAGATTACTGGGAGAGTCCAAGTGGTCTCCCTGTTTCTCTGTCACTCTGACTTCATTCTCTACCCCTCCTCCTCACTGACTCTACTCCAGCCACACCATCTGTGCTGATGCTCATGTACACCAGCCATGCTCTGTCTCTGGGGCCTTTGCCCTTGCAATCTCCAGATGGTGGCTCCTCCCGGGTAGGGGTGTGTCTCCTTCAGTGTCTCCCCATTGCTCAAGCACAAGGTCAGGCACCTAATTGGCACCCAGTAAATGCTTGTTGAATATGTGATTGATGGAATGAATGACTCAGTGAAGAACAAGAATAAAAAGAATTTTTTAGTTGTTTTTAGTATAATTTGGGGAGGAAACAGTAAAATAGGTTTTTAGGTCTAACATCTATCTTTTAGAACTGCTAAGTTATTTCTTAGACTCCTATCCCTCAATTTGGGAAAAAGAAGAGTTCAAGACATTCATGAAGATTTTAAAGTAACAAAATCCCTTTCTGAGCTCCAGGTGGAGCATTGTGGAGTATCACCATCCCCTTTACTTATGAGTGTCATACCTGAGGAGACACTCCTGAGTTATCAGTCCACTAGATCCAAATAATGAATTTCCCTTGGTACAACTGAATACCACGAATACCACATCTCATCTTGTTACTCAGAGGAAGATTAAGGTGCTGGAGGACCTCAACTGTTACTACTAGTATGACAGAGGGATTAGCCCCTCTTGACTAGATTCGCAGCCACCAACATGGATGAATGGCCCTGGAACACTAATGATTCTTTAATAACCATAGTGAATTGCATTGTTCTCCTTCTGCTTCATTTTAAAAAGATGGCAATGAAAATGCATCCTGTTTATACCTTTTGATGTTAAATAATTGAACATTCTTTTACCTGATCATTCTAGATAGCTCCAAAGAAATGGAATTATAGATCATTTAGGCAACAACTTTCGATTGATTGTCTAATTGTACGAGCCACTGTGCCGTGGGCTGAGGGAAATCCACAGTCAAGGAACTTCTGTCTGATTCATAGTTGGGGCAAGACTCAGCCAATTACACAGTGAAATACGAAGTGCTGCGGGGGTTAGCAGAGGGGGAAATCCTTCCATCTGTTGGGATCACAGTGCCTACCTTCCTCCCTTCCCTTCCCCTCTCTTTCTCCTGTCCTCTTTCCCTCCTTCCACAAACGCTTGTGCCTCCAATGTCCCAGGTTCTGCTGCACACACTGGGGATGAAGCAGTCCTGACACACAGAGCTCACCTTCAGTGAGGAGGACAGAAAACACACATATACACACACACACACAAGATCACAAAATGGGGGTGCTGTGAGAAAAATAAAATTGGGTGACGTGATAGTGACCAAGGGGTAACTGTGGCTTCGGTGGCCCTGGAAGGCTCTGCGGGGATGAGCCAGCCCCACAGAGACCCCAGGACACTGCATTTCCCACCCTGGGAGGAGTTGGGGCAAAGGCCTGGAGGCAGGAAAAGCAGTGGCGAGATAGCGAAGCAGGGTCACTCCTGGCACAGCAGGGGCCCTCAGGACCCCCTCCAGTGCTGTTACCATCAGACGTTCTGCTTGCTTGCTCACTGCCTTCCTGGTACTCACCGCTCACACTCTGAGAAAAGAATGGAAACATCAACCATTAACTGAGCAGTTGCGTGCTGGGCATTGTACCCAGCCTTTCCAGATACTAAGTCGTTTTATCTTCCCTATGACTCTGTGGAGTGGCATTGTTATTAAAAACTGAGGTTCAGAGAAGTTAAGTAACTTATCCAAAATCACACAGTTCTTTGGTAGCAGAGCCAAGATTAGAACCCAGTTCTCTCTGTCTCCAAAGTCTTTGCTCTGCCAGCCTGGAGAGAGGCCTGGAAGTAGAAGAGCCCAGGCTGCAGACCGGCAGAGTGGCTGGTGTGTGTGGTGTGTGTGGTGTGTGAGGCAGGGCAGGGGTCAGACTAGGGAGAGCTGTGCCTGCCAATCAAGAAGATTGTGGGAACCAACAACCTAGAAAACCCTTGTGGAGATGGTGCCTAAAACTTGTCACGGGTGTGTTTTCACAGCCCAGGTCATCCCCTTACTCTCGAGTCTTCAAGAACTAGATTTATCCGCCAACAAAAAGATGGGCAGCTCTTCTGAAAACCTCCTCAGCAGGCTCCGATTTTTACCAGCATTGAAGACGTTGCTAATCAACAACTGTGCTTTGCAAAGTGAGACTTTCAGGGCCCTCGGTAAGAGAAGTCCCCAGATCCTGCAACAGCACCTGGAGGGGAGGCCTCTCTCTCTGCCCGACAGATGAATTTCACTCTGAGGCTCAGCCATAGGCAAAGTTGTGAAGTACTGATTTGTCTTCTTTTCAGGAATATGCTGTCTTAAAAGTGACCTACTGAAGGCCACATGAATGATCCTGGCATTTGCAAGGTTAACATTTAAAATTTAAAGTGTATATAACCAACTCTGGAGGTCCGTGTCCATAGTAACTTGCAAGTTCACTGACGTGCCAACATAAATTGGGATTGCTGTGAGTCTGATGGGAAAAGGGAGGCAATTACTAGGGTGTGAGCCTTGCCAACTGCCTAGCATCCACTTCCAAACAGGACTTCTTGTCCTCCCTCAGGAATCTGAGCATGCCTGAGGGTCATGGATCCAGCCCAGCCCACGTCAAGGGTTTACTGAATCCCTTGGTTCAACCTTGAATCCAAGGGTTACTGACATTTCTGCCTTTTTGGGGCAAGAGCATTGTCAGCAAGGAGAGGGAGACATGTTGAGGCAAAGAGACTTTGTAGCATTTTCCCAAATGTACACCCAGGCAACCAGCACCTTGGGTACACGGTGGCTGCAGGGGTCCCCAACACCACCTCCAGGTTCAGTGATTTGCTGGAAGGACTTACAGGTCGCAGCATATAGTTGTGCTCGCTGTTGAGATTTATTACAATGAAAGGATACAAAGCAAAATCAGCAAAGGGGAAGGTACACGGGGCGGAGCCCAGAGGAAAGCCGACACAAGCTTCCCAGAGTCCTCTCCCTGCGGAGCCACACGGGACCCACTTCATTCCTCCAGTGAGTGGTGACAACTTGTGTGAAATGTCGTCTACCTAGGAAGCTCACCTGAACCTTCCAGTCCAGGGTGTATATTGGGGTTAGCCATGCAGGCACCCTCTACCTAGCACGTACCAAAACTCCAGGCTCAGAAGGAAAGCTGGTGTTCAGCTTAAATCATGTTATTTGTACACAAACACTTTAGCCACCATGAACCACCCTTATCAGTTAGGGAATGGTGGGGACACTTCCAAATTCCAAGTTCCCAGATGTCAGCCAAGGGCCAAGTTCCAGCAGGCCTTTCTAGGGATAGCAGCCTCAGGCCTGGTAGTTTGACTCCTTTGTCCCCCGTGCCAAGACTAGAGTGGTTGGATTCTGGTGCTTCCTGGATAAAGATGAGAGCAGAGTCCTTCTCTCTGACCTCTTAAGTGTTAGACCAGTTAATACTTCCTTAGAAATGAATTCTACTATGGACCAGACAAGGGCTATTATTAATGAAATAAACACATTCTGTTAAAAAATAAGATATTTATTAATATATCTATTAATAAAAATAAATGAATATCATTTACTCTAAATTCTAAGAAGTTTCTATTTAGGGTATGCTCACCCTTCTTTACAGCCCAAGTAGTTTGTTCAATCCACATGCACTTGGTCCTTGCTGTGTATTGTTCCCAGCCTCCCCTAGCACTGCTCATCTCGTTGTCCACGTGTCTGGATGGGGAAAGTAGGAGGGAATGTGCCTTTCAGGCTTGGAGTTCTTAATCTGGGGTCCCTGCCCCCCCTTTAAAAGGGTCGTCTATATTTATGCCTCAGGGAGGGGGCTGTGAACCTCCTAAAACTGATTGCAATTATTTTGTGGGGAGAGCGTATGGTACATTTTCTTGCTCTAAGTATCTGGGATCAGACTGCCTGAATCAAATCCTGGCTCTGGCTCTTGTGGCCTGAGGTACTTAACATCTCTGTGTTGCAGTTTCCTCGTCCGTAAAATGTAAAATGGGTAATAGTATCATATCTCATAGGGTTGTGAGAATTAAGTGGGTTAATATATGTAAAGTTCTTGGAAAGGTGCCTGGCACATAGTAAATGCCCAATAAATGTCAGTTGTTAATATTATTATGGGGAGAAAGTCTATAAATTTCATTTAAAAAGAAAATTGGATCTTATCACTACCCAGTTTAAAAAGAGTCAATGGCTGCCTGTAACACCTCCAGTAAAATCCAGATTCCTTCATGTGGTCTAAAAGGCCCGGATGATCTGGCCCTGGTACCTCTTTGCCGCTCTGCCCCTCACTCCCTGAATGCAGCCTCAGTTGACTTCTCCCGGTTCCTTCATATCACCCAGCTCTCTCTTGCCTCTAGGCCTCCTGTTCTCTGGACTTCCCTAACCCCCATTCTTTCCTGGAGAGCTCTGCCTTCAGATCCCAGTGTAAACATCCCCTTTTAAGACACCCTGTCTCTATCTAAATTAGTAACTCCTGTATCTTCTTTATATCTTTTATCGGAATTTTTAATTATGTATGTATTTGTATGATTTTTTTAACGTCCATATTTCTCCCAGATTGTAACCTCCTTGAGGGCAAGGATTGTGTTTATTCATCACTGCATACCCAAAGCACATTTTAGGTATTTCTACATATTAGTTGAGTAAGTAAATAGGTAGGTATGTAGGTAGACAGACAGACAGGCAGGCAGGCAGGCAGGCAGGTGGGCAGACAAACTCCTCAAAGGGGTCTGTAATCCCCAAAATGGTTAGGTAAACACACACACACAACACATTCCATTGTTCAGACTAATGTTCAGTTAGGAAAGTTCTATGAAAAATAAATTTGGGAACAACATGATGTTTCATAAATATACTTACTAGTTGGAAAATGTTGAATACTTTTTTAGAAAATTTTGTTTTTAGTTTTGCATCTTCTGCCATCAGAAGACACAGCTCTTTCCAACTATAGCTGCTCAATCAATGAATCATAATCAAGTAGATATACTAAATTACATCATCTGACATAAATCTATCATTAAATTTGAATTAAGTAAATCAAGAAAATATATATTTCTCTACATCACTTTTATTTTTATTTTTATTTTTTTTGTGAGGAAGATTAGCCTTGAGCTAAGATCCAATGCCAATCTTCCTCTTTTTGCTGAGGAAGATTGGCCCTGGGCTAACATCCGTGTCCATCTTCCTCTATTTTATATGGGAGGCTGCCACAGCATGGCTTGACAAGCGGTGCATTGGTGGGTGCCCAGGATCCGAACCTGTGGGATGCCAAAGTGGAGTGCGAGCACTTAACCAGTATGCCACCGGGCCGGCCCCCTCTCTACATCACTTTTAGAAGAAAAAGTTTCATTTCTTATTAATAGGTCTCTATACCATATGAGTGGGAGGGGTCTTCTTATTAAATATTATAAAAGAAGATATATTTGCCCCTTGAACAGATATTATTTTTTAGAAAGAAGATAGAATACTTTAAAGGGTAATTAACTACTATAACTTGTGAATAAGTTGTTCTGGTTAATTTTAATGTTAGGGGAAACCGAGAATTAAGCAGAAAAATTTTAAATTTCCTTTAAAAATCTTTCCAAAATACATTATTTCCCTTCCTTGTCTCTGTAACTGCAGTTAAGTAAACACAAATACATTTTGGCCTGTCAGAGTCCTAGGGAGGTTTGGCCCCATCTCTGAATTTCAGCAGTGACTGTACAGTGGAGTGTATAAACCAGGACACCCTCTGGAAATCTTGACTAGCTGTCCAAACTCTTTGCCTCTTTCTCTTAAACGTGAACTGAAGGAAAAAAATCCCAGTCAATAGTGAATTCCATTTAATCATCTTTTACTTTTCTAAAGTTTCCAAGATTTCTCCCAAATAAAAATAGACAACATAAATTGAGGCCATAAATTTCAGGCAGGAGAAAACAGTCTCTACAACGTTCTTCACTTCGTTTAGCTGCCCTAGCTTAGGTTCCTCAAATTCAAGGCTTATGACCTCAAGGAAGCCTAAATTATTGCTATTCTTATCTCTGTTAATTTTAGCTGAAGCCTCCATTCACCTCCCAGCTCTGGAAATATTCAACCTTTCTTGGAATAAGTGTGTTGGTGGCAACCTGAATCTGCTTCTGGAAACACTAAAACTTTCTACGTCTCTTCAAGTGCTGAGGCTGAGCAGCTGTTCCCTGGTGACAGAGGATGTGGCTCTCCTGGGTTTGTATCTACTGGTTCCAAAGCAGTCCAGGTGCACGGAGCCAGCGTGCCTGCCCTGTGAGCCCAGGGGAAGGGAGGTGGAGAAGGCAGCAAGGCCTGGGGCTAAGCCCTCTGCACAGCTTCGCTTCTCCCCAACATCTGCTTAGGAGAGATCTGGTTAAAACAAATAATGGCAATTCTAAAACCAAAAAGACAGTGGAGGGTGTTTCATAAGAGGAGATGGACATAGACGTGGTGGTGGGAGGTTCCTGCCAGGTGGCCAGCTTCTGCCCCACGCCTCCCCCATCCATGAGCCTTTGGCATTCTCCAGGCAGCTCAGTGTTAGCCAAACTGCAGTCATCTACAGTCTGCCTGCACAAATTGTACCCTATCCATGTGGTACCTGCACTATTTCTTAATTTTTTCTTTATATTGACTCTTTAACTTAAATGCTTTTATTTAAACGGGAAACTGATCATCACCATAACTGAAATACAGGTATCACTTCTGATCTGGAGGTTCTCGGGATAAATCCACTTTCAAGCTCATTCTTGTTGTTGGCAGAATTCAGTTCTTTGCAGCTGTAGGACTGAGGTTCCTGTTTTCTTGCTAGCTCAACTAGGGGCTGCTCTCAGCTACTAGAGGCTGCACACATTCCTTGATACATTTTAGCGCTTCTAACACTTCAAATCTTTCTGACTTCTCTCTGTGACCTCCTTCCTCTTCTGCCACGAGCTACAGAAAATTCTCTGCTTTCAAAGAGCTCATGTGATTAGGTTAACACCACTTGGATAATGTGCGTTTCTTAACATCAACTGTGCCATATAATATAACCTAATCACGGCAGTAAAATCTATCATATTCACAGTCCTGGGGATTAGGGTGGAAATCTTGGGGCCACTTTAGAATTCTGACTACCACAAAAGGTTTATCAATGTTATCGATCTTCTCAAAGAATCAGCTTTTGTTTTTTTTTTTTTTTTTTCCTGAATTGGACACTATTAAACATATTAAGTTATTTCATTTAAAGTCTATAATTAAATTTGCTTCTTCCATTTTTTAATCTGTATCAACTTTTATTAATCATAGCTTGAGCCATTATATATTCTTTCTTAATTTTTACGACCAGGTTTTTTTTCTTAGGTCAAATTTATACTTTTACATTTTGTCAAGGGTATTTTTTCCTTCTTTCACTTTTTTAGTCAATAACAAGTATTACTATGTGTGGTCTTAACCATTGCCACTTTTATATTGCTTTGATTGTTTATAACAGAAACAGTCTTTAAGAATTTGTTAATCACTAGTAGCTTATGTTTTATTCTTTTATAAATAACAGCATTATTTTTTTCATATAGTAAGCTACAAAAAAACATATTTCCATGGCCTATGCTCTATTACCCAGGTTTTAAAAAATGTAATGAACACAAAATAGTAAAATATAATAAATACTCACATGATTGGAAAATTCAAACAGTATGGGAAAGGTAAAACGATGCCTGGGGTTTGCGTTAAGATACCAAAAAACAAAAAAAAAATAGAGGGGAGGGGACTAGATGAGCCAAGACTGGTGTCATGAAGACAAATGTTGGAGCTGAGTGATGGGGACATAGGGGTTCACTCTCCTATGCTACTTTTTGTATGTTTGAAAATTTCCATAATAGAAAATTTTCTAAAGGGAAAAAGCATGCAGTTGTCTTTAACACTTAGTTGGGTCTTGAGAATCTGGTGAGTAATGTTGAGACAGAAAGACAGGAAGGAAGAGACGCACATCGACATGGACACCCAGGGACGAGTGCAGCTGTTGAGTGTATGGACTGCAAAGCTCTCAAACACACTGTGGAATCAAACTGTTGCAAGTGAAAGCCATGGGGAGGGAGCATCATCCCGCTTGGTCTAGAAGCCATGGTGTGTGATGAATGATTGAAAGACCAGGGCACGTTTAGTCCTATGGGGGCATATTTGAGGGGACCTGACTGTTGTCCAACCCTGCAGGGCTGGCATGAGGAAAGATCTGAGGTTTCTAGCAGGGTGGGGGGGGGGGCAATGAGGGAGAGTCACCGAAGGCAGATCAGAGTCACCGAAGGGGCCCAAAGGAAGGGCTTCCTCCTGCTGAGAGCTGCTTCACTCTGTTGGGGCAACCTGAAAGGGTGCTTTAGGCAGAATCAGGCTGGTTGCCAGTCGAGAAGCTGTGAAAGGGATTCCTCTCTGATCATGGATCTGGAGATTGAATGAGGAGACCTCCAAGGTCCCTGCCAACTCCAAGATTCCACACTACTCCTCTATCTCTGTAATCCAGTCTTGCTTTTGGCTGACAAGGGAAGCACATGCTGTTTGACTTCACTGTCTCTCCTACCTCCTCTTACAGAAGTCGTTATCTTTTCTTAGCTTCATCGTTAGCTACTATTTATTAAGTGCCATTTTAGGTAGTACTGTGATATGTGCTATTCAGAGGGAAAATTGTCCCATGTATTAGAGTCCCATAGGTGAATTAGAAATTATCCAGGTATATTTTGTACATGGAAAGTGTTCAATTAAATAATTGTTGAATGAAGAATGAATGAATAAGCAATGAACAATTAAACAGTATTAAACAGCAAGAAGACTATTTACAAATGGTCCTTAGTTAAAGCCATGAGCCATCACTCCTCACATTTAATTAGAGAAAGTCTGCAGGAAGAGCTGGGACTCCAGTGGAGCAGAGAGCAGGAACTGAAGAAAAAAGATATTCTTTTGATTGGGATTTGGAAAGGGAAAAAAAATCCATTTTCAAGCTGTGCTTGGGATGCACAGAGAGGCGATTTGTTACTAATGTAATTCCAGATGCCCTGAATACAGATGTTAGCTAATAACAAATCATTAATCATTACCAAGCTTGTCATTACTAATCCTGGAGCTACTGTGTTGTTATTGGAAGTGGGAAACTAGCAAGGTAGAGCATATTCTTGTATTTTAGCATTTCGTGGTTTTGTTTTTCAGCATCAGTAATACAGACAGGTCATCTGGCCAAGCTGCGGAAGCTCGACCTGAGCTATAACGACAGCATCTGTGACACAGGATGGGCCGTCTTCTGCCAGAACATGTGGCTCCTCAAAGAGTTGACCGAGCTGGATATTAGTCTTCGGCCATCAGCTTTTCGAGACTGTGGACAATGGTTTAGGCACTTGTTATGTGCCGTGACCAAACTTCCCGAGATCACTGAGATAGGGATGAAAAGATGGATCCTCCCGGCTTCACAGGAGGAAGAACTTGAATGCTTTGGCCAAGATCACAGGAGTAGCGTTCACTTTGACCGTGGTGGGTTTCAGTAGGCTGATTTCCCACAGCCTAACTCAGCTACAAACATTCTCCAAAGGAGGAAAAGAACATGAACGAATCCCAGTGTAATCAAAGGAGTATCAATTTCTAGCCCGTTTAATGGGATTTATGTTACAAGAGCTTTGTAAATGTGTGCATATAATAATCTGATATGAGTATGTCTTTGTTGTCTACCTTATAAAACAAGGATGACAATTTTAGATGGATTTTCAATTGTTTTGGATATATAATTCACTTACTGTTTAGGCCTACCAAAAATGTTTAGATTCTGGTAATGCATCTCCTTTTTTCTTGCCCTGGAATTTTCTGCCTTTTCTTCCTCTACATGTTAAATGTTCTAAATATACGGGTGTGTGTGTGTGTGTGTGTGAAATTCTAATGTGAAAGGCACTGCTGTGTAATGGTTTCATATTATCTTTACTATTATTATATGTATCTTAACGTGGTCTACTTACATTTTTATCAGAAAGTATACCCTTCAGTGGTTTATTATTTTATGTTCTGGTGCCGTTTATCTCAGATATATACTATAAACACTAATAATGGTCATTGACATATAAATCTTAGTAAAAAGTGGTCAAAAATTCAAAACTCATTATCAAAAACACATCTTGTTAAAGTAAAATCTTTTATTATTAAAATAAAAAAAATTAACACATTACCTCTGGACATTTCTTTGGCATGAAATTTGCTACATAAAACCTATTTAATTCATTATTTAAAGTTTTCATGTTGCTCTAAGTGATTTTTGAAATTTTTGGTTTTCTTTCATTAGAGCATGAAATTCGTTGCATGGCCAAGGTGTCTGCTCACACATTTCTACTCTGACATACTCTAATCAAGTTATGTTTTGCTTTCTTCTTGCTATACTAATAATTAGTATTGCAATCATTGCTTGAAAGACATGTAGAATTTAAAGTCAACACTACTCCAAAAGAAAAAGTCATCAGGATCAGGAGGTTTTAAGTGGTGTAAATGAGGTTTTAACTGTGAAAAACCACAGTTTTAGGTAACGTGGTACTTCTCATTTTGAAGGGCATTTCCATAAATTCCATGAACACCTATGCTCATGCAAAAACCTACGAACAAATGTTTCTAGCAGCTTTGTTCGTAGTAGCCAGAAACTGGAAACAGACCAATATTTTTCAATGGGTGAATGGTTAAAGAAACTATGGTACTATGCAATACTACTCAGCAACAGAAAGGAATAAACTATTGACACATGCAACAACTTGGGTGGCCTTGAAGTGAACTATGCTGAGCAAAAAAAGCCAATCCCCCAAAGATTACATACTATGTGATTCCATTTATATGACATTCTTGAAATAATAAAATTACAGAGATGGAGAACAGGTTAGGGATTGGGAGAGGGGTAGGTGGTAGGTGGGACTAAAAGGAATAGCACAAGGGAGACTTGTGGTGGTGGAACAATTCTGTATCTTGATTGTGGTGGTGGCTACATGAAGCTACATGTAACAAAACTGCATTGAATTACACACACACACACACACAGATGAGTGCATGTACAACTGATGGAATCTGAGTAAGCTCTGTTGATGGCACCAATGTATATTCTCTGGTTTTGTTGCTGTACTGTAGTTATACAAGATGTCAACACTGGGGGAGGGTGAAGGGGCATGGACCTCTGTATACATTTCTTTGGAACTTTCTGTGGATCTATAATTATTTCAAAATTAAAAGTTTTTAAAGTAGACAGGATAGTATATTGAACCTCCATGTACCTAGCATATGCTTCTACGATTATCAACTTATGGTCAATCTTGTTTCATTTGGATCCCCCACACTTACCTCTCCCTGATATTATTCTGAAGCAATCCCTAGGCATGATATCATTTTATCCATAAATATTTCAGTTAAGGGGCCGGCCTGGTGGCGCAGCGGTTAGGTGCGCGCGCTCCACTGCGGCGGCCTGAGAGTTCGCAGGTTTGGATCCCGGGTGCGCATGGAAGCACTGCTTATCAAGCCATTTGCTGTGGCGGCGTCCCATATAAAGTAGAGGAAGATCGGAGGGATGTTAGCTCAGGGCCAATCTTCCTCTGCAAAAGGGAGGAGGATTGGCATCGGATGTTGGCTTAGGGCTGATCTTCCTCACAAAAAAAAAAAAAAAGAACCATAAATATTTCAGTTAAAGTAAGAATCTTTATTTTCATACATAACCATAATTCTTTGAATATTTTTAGTGTGGTAGGCATCCAATTCCTAGATATTTTGCCTTCTTAATCCATCAGAGTTAGTTACGTCAATTCATTAATTTATAGAATTATTTCTTCTTCTCCTTTACAGGTTTTCCCTTTACATCCTTCTTTCCTTTCTTATCTTTTGGAGAATTCTTGCCTTTCTTTTGCAATTTCAGCAGTTCTTCAAATATCCCAAGTCCCTTCCGTACCATCACTCCACGCCACCATGCCTGAATCTGAAAACAAGATAAACCCAAACAGCATCAGCTGGTATCACTGTGGACTGGAGATGGTGGCGTCTGTGTTCCGGTAGTGGCTTTAAGGTTTTGGAGAATGGAATGTGATTAGAGTGCTAAACCGTATTTTCTCTCTTTCTCTATTGGCCAGTCATCCAGGCAAATTTTTTAAAAAGTATCTAGTGCTCTTATGTGCCAGGCACTGTACTAGACATTCGGGAAACAGCAGTTAAATACCAATGTCACTGACTTTGTGGAGCTACGTTCCAGTGAGGAGAAGAGACAATGAACACATGAATGTATACTGTGACAGATGGTGATGGGTGCTATGGAGATCACAGTGCACAGTAAGGGGAACCGGGAGTGCCTGTACCCAGCCTTCCCTCTTGTTACTGGACCGTGTGTGCTCCTTATTCCCGACATCTTACTCCCTCCCACCTACTCAGGAACAGCCTTCCTCTAGGAGTACACTCTGAACCTTCCAGTGCTTCCCATTTCTCTCCAAATAAAAGCTGGAGTCCTTACAATGGCTTACAAGGCCCTGTCTCATCTGCCCCTCCCTCCTGACTTCTTAACTACCCTCCCCCTTTGCTCCCTCTGCTCCAGCCATGGGGGCCTCCGCGCTGCTCAGACACACCAGGCACAGCCCTAGTTTAGGGCTTTGCATTCGCTGCTTCCTCTGCCTGGAACACTCTTCCCAATATTCAGATGGCTCGCCCCTCCACTTCTTCAAGTATTTGTTCAATTGTCATTGCTCTGGACTGAATTGTGTCATCCTCACCCACCAGTTCATATGTTGAAGCCCTAAGCCCCAATGTGATGGTGTTTGGAAACACGGCCTTGGGAGGTAACTAGGTTTAGATAAGGTCATGAGGGTGGGGCCCTCATGATGGGATTAGTGCCCTTATAAGAACAGACACCAGAAAGCTCATTCTCTCCTGTCATGTGAGGTCACAGTGAGAACGTAGCAGTCCATAACACAGGAAGAGAGCCCTCACCAGAAACTGACCATGCTGACACACTGATCCTGGACTTCTAGCCTCCAGAACTGTGAGAAAATACATTTCTGTTGTTTAAGCCACCTAGTGCATGGTATATTGTTATGGTAGCCTGCGCCAACTAAGGCAGTCATCTTTCCCATGAGGCCTACCCAGACCATATCATTTAAACTGAAACCCCCACAACACACTCACCCACATGCTACTTCTGGCAATCTCAGTTCCCCTTAGCTTGAACTTTTTTCCAATACCACTTATCACTTTCTAACATAGTATATAATTCTATGTTTTACAGTTCATGTTTTTATTCCCCTCCCACTAGACTTTAAGAAATATGAGAACAGAAATATGTGTCTGCTTTGTTCACTGATGTCCTCCAGTGCCTAGAACAGTGCCTGGCACATAGTAGAAGCTCAATAAATATTTGTTGAATGAATGAATGGGGGGGAGGGAGTTCGCTGTTTTATATAAGGTGGATCAAGAGCAGGTATGAGGATATATGAGCAGAGACTGAACTAAGTGAGGGTTGGAGTCTTGTCCATATCTGTGGGAGGCATCTCTGGGCAGAGGGATGAGCCAGTGGTAGCTCTGAGGCAGGAGCATGCTCGGGCCCTGGAAAAACACTGAGGATGCCATTTGTGACTGAAGTAAAGTGAAAACGGGAAAGACGAGATGGGGAGTGAAAGCAGCAGATCAGTTAGGATGGTGATCTTCCAAGGGAACAGTATTGTCCTCTAGAGGCATTCTGGAAATTCAAGAATGTTCAAGAAGAAAAAGAAATGACATGAAATTTCTGCCTGTAAAATAAGAGCTTGTTCAAGTATTTTGTAAATTGATGTTGACCGACATATCAACTCAAAATGGTATTCAGATTCCATTGGATACATTTAAAGTGTTGATCTAACAGCTCTATTTTAAGATGTCAATATTTAAAATTCACTAGAGGGGCCGGCCCCGTGGCTTAGCGGTTAAGTGCGCGTACTCCACTACTGGCGGCCCGGGTTTGGATCCCGGGCCCGCACCAACGCACTGCTTCTCCAGCCATGCTGAGGCCGTGTCCCACATACAGCAGCTAGAAGGATGTGCAACTACGACATACAACTATCTACTGGGGCTTTGGGGAGAAAAAAGGAGGAGGATTGGCAATAGATGTTAGCTCAGAGCCGTCTTCCTCAGCAAAAAGAGGAGGATTAGCCTGGATGTTAGCTCAGGGCTGATCTTCCTCACAAAAAAATAAATAAATAAAATAAAATAAAATAAAATTCACTAGCAAGTAAATCTTTTGCAATGATTTAAATTTAGTGGTAAAAAATTTTAAATATCAATTTTAAAATGTGCAAGAGGGTACATGGTTTTTCAAAATGCTTTTAGGAAATATCCAAAAAGTATTACTTTCATTCTTCAAGTGCCTGTCTAGCTCAGTTGCTAGAGCATGGGACTCCATCCCAGGGTCATTCTTCCAGTGTAGTCGTTCTTGAGTATATCCATATTTAAATAAGTATTTTAATATAAATTACTTTTCTTTTTCCTTTATGTTACAGCTTGGACATTATGCTAATTTATTAAAATGATGCATTTGGGGGAGGTTACATTATTTATGAGTTTAATTTCAGAAGAGTAAAGGAGGTATCACGTAATAATTATCATAAAAGGGAGGCTGTGAGGTCTGATACGATTGAGGGCCATTGACAGATGATCTTGCAGACCAAAGACTAACTCTTACTCCAGGTAAACTGGACAAGCGTTGATTTCAGCAGAGGAGTAGCAAGATCCGAGATGCTATATTGAACAGCATCAGCCTGACTGCTGAGTGGAAGGTGATATTGTAGAAGGAGCAGGCGCGGGAGTAGGGACACTAGAGGACTAGTGCAGCCGGTCCTACTGGCTTGGACCGGCTGAATAAAGAATATTGAACATTGACTGAAGTGGACACATCCCTGGTCTGTCTGGGGTTTCCTGACATCTCCAGGGGCCTGGTGGGCAAGGGGAGAGTGACAGGGCTCGTAGCCCTTTGATCCTAGTTAGTGGCAGAGCAGAACTCTGGTCTCTAGACCTCTGCTCCATAAATGCTTTCATTTCTAATTTTTCAGCCTTATCTTACTGACTTTGTTAATATAACCTTTTCACTCCAGTGAATAGTCCAAGAATTTTAGATCATTTTGGGATTTGAGGTTTTGGTTTCTTTTGCCTGTTTGTTGGCTTCTTATCTGATAAAGAGATAAGAGACATAAAAGATAAAGATGCTGGGATGATGTTCAAAAATTCACTTAGCCTTGGGGATAAAAAGTAAATAAGAGTCTCTACTCTCAAGGAAGACAAAGTATAGATGTGCAGAGAGCAGCCCCATAGGATCATCTGCAATGTGTTTGACACTAACCCCTCTCCAAAGCAACTGTAAATGTGTTATCCAGAATTTTTGCTGATTTTACCTTTGTTGCCATTATTTTCATTTTTCTTTTTTCCTTAAGGTACGCCCATATTGCCTCAGTGCCTTCGGTGCACACTTCTTTTGGGGGTTCTTTCATGGGATTGTCCATCAGTGTCAGAACCTTTAGATTCATGAGACTATCCAAATTCTCTGGAAGGTCGGTGAGCAAGTTGTCCTCGAGGAGTAATTCTTTCAAAGCTGAAAAAATTTTTTTTAAATGATGGATTTATCTTCAAAACAAGGAAAATTAAAATGTGTTTTCCTCAGTTCAATCCCTTTGACATGTTTGTTTCTTGCTGTGCCATATAACAATAGACATCAGATTTAATGAGGCAAACCAAGTTCTCTTTTTTATAACAACTCAAAGTTGTTGGACCCAGTGTAAATAAGTGGTAGACACAGGAAAATAGTAAACCCTAAAACATTTTGAGAATGTTTTCCTCCCAGGCACCAAGGACAGGATGAAAACATATGGTCGGGAGCACTACTTAGGAGTACTGTACACCCACCTCTAGCCTCTAATATTTGAATGTCTTGTGGATAGGCAACAGCTTCCATTTAGATTCCTTCAACCTCCTTTCATTAAAGAAGAATAATCATAGTTTGAAAACATATCTATAAACCTGAAAATTCAGCATACTATGGCCAAAAAATTTTTAAAAACATGGCCCCAGTAGGAGCTCAGCAAAAGCTTGTTAAGTGGGTGAATGGATTGATGGATGTACAAATAAAGAATGGTTTAGCCTTGTGGAAAATGTTTGGGTGTTTAAATATGAATCATATATGATTTTTCATGTCAATCACGTAGCTCCAAAAGTTCCCACTTGCTGCTTTCTCCACTCTGGGTCAATAGTTTTTTCATTCAAGTGATTTAGCGACCTAATGCAAATTTACTGCAAGACCCTCAACTACAAATTCTGGCATATAGTAGGTATTCAGTAAATTATTGTTGGTGGTGTAATGACTATACAGATGAATGCTAAGTTTTTTACCAGTTGCGATTTACTTTTCTTTTCAATTTCCAATAAACAATCTTACTGCCTTTGTGAGGCTCTTAGCTGTACTAAGCAGGCACTTGGCATTCCCCACGACACTGATGAGCCCTGCAAGGAGGTAATGGGGTAGGTCTAAGCTCTCTAAACAGTGAGATTGGCCTTTAGTAAAAGCAAGGAAGCCTTCATCATGACAAATGCTGGCCTCAAACTCTGCTAGGCTGTGGATCTACTAAGATTCCTCACCTTGTGCTTGGCAGATGGCGTCTGGAAGTTGCTTAAGCAGATTGTGGCGGCAATCAAGAATTTCCAGGTTAGGCATTGATCCCAAGGACACAGGCAGGTACTCCAGATGATTGTTCTCTATATACAGCTCTTTAAGGCTCTGAATAACATGAGAGTATGCCATAATGATCCTTACATTGATAAATGAATTATAATAACCAGAATCACCTGTGAGTTCCCATGCTCTTTCAATGGGGATATTATGCATTGGGATAAAGAGGAAAACCTATTCAAAGGACCATCATCAAAAAATAAAATTATTTTGGGGCTGGCTCCGTGGCTTAGCGGTTAAGTGCGCGCGCTCTGCTACTGGCGGCCCGGGTTTGGATCCCGGGTGCGCACTGACGCACCACTGCTCCGGCCATGCTGAGGCCGTGTCCCACATACAGCAACTAGAAGGATGTGCAACTATGACATACAACTATCTACTGGGGCTTTGGGGGAAAAAAAAGGAGGAGGATTGGCAATAGATGTTAGCTCAGAGCCGGTCTTCCTCAGCAAAAAGAGGAGGATTAGCATGGATGTTAGCTCAGGGCTGATCTTCCTCACACACACACAAAAAATAAATAAAATAAAATAAAATTATTTTTCAGTTAAGCCATTAGACGTGGTTCTCATTTATGCAGGGAAAAGAGAGCATGGGAATCTAGTGTTTGCTTCATAAGAACTTTATGGAAAAATTATTGGATCCAAGGGTTGTTTAGTTCAGTAAGCCTCTAAGTGTAACAACGACTGCTTATTTGCAGCTGGACGTCTAGTGTGGATGATTCCACGTGCAGCCTGTGGGGACACTGCCGTGTTTTCTCAATATCAGCCAATTTAAGGAATCAGTGGGCATGTACTTCTTTGCCTGCTCATTCGGGGAGGCTTACCTGTAGTTTCCTGATGGATTCTGGTATATAAGTGAGCTTGGCTCCCTGATCTTGCCCAATGTATAACTTCTCTAAAGACTCTAAAGAAAGGATCTTTTCCGGAAATGAGAAGAACTGATTTCCAGTTAGTCCAAGCATCTTCAGTTTTGAAAGTGAGCTGAAGTCTGAAGGTAACTAAAAGTATTCCAAAAAGATAAGTTTCAGGTCAAGGTTATTTTTTTTTTTTTTTAAAGATTTTATTTATTCATTTTTTTTCCCCCCAAAGCCGCAGTAGATAGTTGTATGTCATAGGTTCACATCCTTCTAGTTGCTGTACGTGGGACTCGGCCTCGCGTTGGGCGGAGAAGTGGTGCCTCGGGGCGCGCCCGGGATCCGAACCCGGGCCGCCAGCATCAGAGCGCGCGCACTTAACCGCTAAGCCACAGAGCCAGGCCATGGTTATTTTTAACAGTAAGAAAATAAATTGGGCTTTTAGTTTTGAGGCAGATTATTAAAAAAGAGAGCAATTTTGCAATTCCTACTGATGAAAAGTTTGCATATATATTTGCATATTTAGTATTTATACTTGTAGATCTAAAGTCTGGAGTTCCACTTTGTCCCTGAGCCTCTCTGCTTTTCACGTTTATGCACTGCTTTAAACTGGAACAATTTTTAACCTACTTTATTGCAGATTTTTGAACTGTAGCAAATTCTTGCCACTACTGAAAGAAAAAGTACTCAAGTTATTAGTGTAATATTGCAATTATAATGTTCATAATTAATTCAGTTATTGGAACTGATCAATTTAGTGACATGACCTCTTCCCCTAAAAGGCTTTAACTCTTGCAATTTTGAAACTTCAGTTGCAACCTAAGTTGGAAGCAAACAATGAAGACAATTATGATTATACCTTGTGATATTCTGCCCTCCAGTGAACACCAAGGCTTATGTGCCCTATACAGGTATTATTCACAGACTCCCAGACTTTCAGAGTTGGAAGGCTTTCAAAAGATCCTCTATTCTAACCCTCTAATATGGTGGATGAATATATTCCATAGCTAGCCATCCAGCCCATATTTAAACATCACCTCCTGGAATGAAAAGCTTGGATGGAGACCTCTAATCATATTGCCTTCTTTTGTCAAGCCAAAATCTGCATCACTATTATGTCCACCTATTGGTCTCTTTCTGGTTCTCTGGAACCACATGGAAAAATTTCATTTTTAAAATAGTGACACAATCACCCTATTTATTATGTTACAGAGATGCCTATTTTCTTGTAGGAAAAAAGCCCAGCCATATGTCTCCATAGCTTAACTCCCTCTGAACCACTGTTCCTTGATCTGGCTTTATTCTTAACTGGGAAATCCTCCTTACAGGTCCCTCAGGCTTTATTCCCACCCATTCCCTAAACTGCCACCCCACTTTTCATGAGAATGGCTAGAGTTCAGTTCAGCCCGACCTCTCTATAGATGGGCGGAATAGATAAATAATTGGTGAATAGGTCAAAAGAAATCCCACTATAGGGATAACCTATTGGTAAAAGTCTCACACACCTGGAATCTTCCATCAGACATTTTTTTCTTTATTATGTAGGGTGAGGGTTCATTTTCCTAAAAATGTTATAAAATGTTTACAGTTTTATTTACTTTTCTTTTTTTAATCAGAACAAGTCAATCTCCAGAGAAACTGATGTTTAAGTTTTCCTTCTTGGCTATTTCTAAATTCTTTATCAGGCACTTAGATCCTGTCAGTACAAAGCATCTGCATTCAGTGCAGTTCAAAAAACGGGAAAAGATTTTTCAATTTCACCACTTCATTATAACCTAGTAATTTCATGCTTATTGCTGTTTACTTAGCTCATAGGTTTAGCTTTTCTTTTTCAAAGCACGTTGAATGTTTAAAGATTTTTTTCCCCAGGATATTCAAGATCCAATCATTAATCCCTTCATAGTCATATTAAAGTATAGTAGAAATAAATCTGGATGTACAGAAAACCTACAGAGCATCAGATGAGGACAATTATTGCTGACACTATAACTGAGCTGTGGGCATTTTAAGGTTGGGTTTTCTCCCTTAACAGAAATGTACCATACAAATGAAATCCATCTAGATGCAACTGAAAGTCAGCTATTTTTTGTTTAATTTATTTTTTTGGTGAGGAAGATTAGCCCTGAATTAACATCTGTTGCCAATCCTCCTCTTTTTGCAGAGGAAGATTGGCCCTCAGCTAACATCTGTGCCCACCTTCCTCTATTTTATATGTGGGACGCCTGCCACAGCATGGCTTGATAAGTGGTGCATAGGCCTGTGCCTGGGATCTGAACCTGCGAACCCCAGGCCACCAAAGCAGAGTGCACAAACTTAACCACTACACCACTGGGCTGGCCCCTGAAAGTTAGCTATTTTTACATCCAGCTAGGCAAGAAAAAGCTACTGGCCAGGCTTCAAGAGCCAGAAACCCACCCAGTAAATCTTTGTAGGGGTGGGGTAGGGGGTGTGGGGAGGTGGATAAGGAGCTGGCTGAAAGGCCATGTGTAATTATGGAGAGAAATCCATTGGTAGGTTACTGGAGGGATTAGCATGATAGGAAATTGAGACAGGAAGACAAAAAACACAGAAATACCATCATAAGAACTGAAGAATACTAAGCAATGGTATACAGAGATTTTCATATTCAATATAACAAAATTGAACATGACCACATTTCAGTGCAGTTGACTTGTGGTAAAAGTTGGTACTGGATGAGGCTTATCTTTGTTAAGGAGCCATCTGTGTGTGAGTCTCTCCTCCACACTGATCTCTTAAAATGTCTCACAGGAAAGGATTAGGTATTGTTTAAGACTCAGTGGGAATTAAGTCCATGTGTTATCCTTCCTAAGGGCACTTTATATCTTGAGCCTTTCACTCCAACTGCAGAATGACAGACTTCGTCCTCTGTAAAAGGAATTTCTTATGTCAGCGGTGGAATAGTTGGGGCGATGGGCAGAAGGCCTCTCACAGAACCTCTAAAACCCTCCAAGGGGGACTGTTACCTAAGCAGAGATTAAACCCTAGATTCTCTTCCTAAATCTTAAAGTTACCACCAAAACGGTTACTTCCTGAAAGATAGTTTTAAAACTCTATAACAATTAGGAAAACCAAAAAACCCCCCAAAGTTCTAGAAATTGAAAATTGAGTAAGAGATAAAAACAAATATAAACCTTTAAGGCCTAGGACTTTTATAACATAAGGTGAACACGAGACTGGTGTCCGTGGCCAGGAAAAAGACCTTTTATTCGGTTACAGTTGTTGATTTCCAAATCTCCCTTTCTCTCCCTTTACAGTTGTCTTTTGTTTTTAACCGAACTCTGCTCTTTTTAATTTTCAAATCTTAAAAAATAGTAAAGAAACAAACATGAGTGTACCCATTGCCCAAATCTTTCGTTAATAAACAAAATGACATACTGCAGTTAAAGCTGAGCTCCCCGATGATCCTTTCCTCATTTCCTTCACCTCCTCCCTCTTCCCAGGGGCAGCCATGATTAGGAATTTAGCGAGTTTTTTTCCAGTACATATTTTCATACTTTTATTAGGTATATAAATATCCATAAAATATGTGTGTTGTGTGTGTATATGTAGTTTTGTGTGATTAAAAGGTTCTGCAATTTGGTGTTTTACTTTTTAATAAACATCACACTTTTTTTTTTTTTTTTTTTTTGCTGAGGAAGATTCGCCCTGAGATAACATCTGTTGCCAATCTTCCTCTATTTTGTATGTGAGCCGCCACCACAGCATGGCCACTGATAGACGAGTGGTGTAGGTCTGCATCCAGGTTGGGCTGCTGAAGCAGAGTGCACTGAACTTAACCACTAGGCCACCAGGGCTGGCCCTAAACATCACAATTTTGAGATCTATCCACCTTGGCACAGATAGAGTATTCCATTTTACAAATATGTGCAAGATTTATCTGCGCATTCCTCTACCGACTGACATTTAGATTGTCTCCCATACTTCACGATTATCAACAACATCATGATGAACATTTTTGAACATGCCACCCTGCACACAGGTGGGAAGGTTTCTCTAGAGACAAATCTGTTGAATTTTCCCATGAATGGAGCATTAAGGCCTAAGGTGGTATGTGTCAGAGAAATCCCCCGTTTAAGGAAACCCTGTTAGGAGGTGGTCTTTGTTAAGAACATAGACCCTGGAGCCCAGCAGCTCCGGGTTGGAACTTGACTCTATTATGTACAGGTGTGTGGTCTTGACAAGTTAGGGATGCTCCCTGTGCCTCATTTTCCTCATATATTGTTGAGGATAATGTCACCCACATCAGAAAGTCGTTGCAAGGATTGTTGGGAGAGAGGGAGAATCTCCCTCTGCCCTTTTCCTTAAGGTTCTTATGGCTGGCCAAATAATTAACAAGACAGGTTAGCAGGAGAAAAGAATACCAAGTTTAATAACATGTATACATGGGAGAAACTCAGA